AAGAAAAAAAGACTGCCTCGTTGGTCGAGTGGTCGCAAATGCGACTGCTAGGCAAGGGGTTTCGGGTTCGATGCCCAGATTGGGCAAAGTATTACTGGGTGTTAAAATAATTCTCAGTAGTAGCAATGATTTATTACATGGGACTAATAACATAAGTAGTGAAAAGTTGGTGTTATATTATACAGTGGTATAATGTGCACGTTTGTCTTCCTTTGGTCACAAATGCGACTGCTAGGCAAGAGATTTCGGGTTCGATTCCCGGTTCGGGCAAAGTAAATAATCTTCTTATCCTCACCCCTCACCCTATTCCTCAAATCCCTAATACTCAAAAGGCCTGGAAAGCACCTGTATCGCTTCTGGTATGTCATGGTAATTGATACCATGAGTGGCGCTTGTCATAAAGTGATCACGAAGTCTTCAGGTTTGATTATACCATACAAAGTTCACTGAAGGACTATGATATACTTAATTTCCATGTTTGGCTCGTGTGTTGGCGATCGTAGTAGGTATAAATGACGTCGACACCCACGAGAAGAGGAGGGCAAGTGATAAATGTGCTCCCATAACTGGCTGTCCCAGTAACGCGAACAGTCGCGCATGCAAATTCTCCGCTTGTTCGAGCAGTAACGATGGTCAATGCTTTCCTGGCTTCCGCACCAGAGTATGATTTGTTCACAGCGAGATGGAAGGATGTATGTCGTGAATGTGTAGGATTTTGTGAGAAGATGGAAGGCTGATGAATTAGTTTTAAGTAATTATAATTATTGTATTTTTTTACAAGATATAGGTATCTTGTAAAAATACACATAAGTGTAAAGTAGTAAATAAGTGATTTTTATTATTTAATTGTATAATGTCCTGGCTTGTAATAAATGTATCCTATTCTGCTCCGACCGCACGGATTTTTATAGGACTTAAAACTCCTCTGATATACGTAATAGTTACCTACCTTTTGTATATTTACAAATGCGATGTCTAGCTCTTACGCCCGAATAAAGGTATACTCAATTTTAAATATCATGCCGTCTCTGTCATTCTGCTATGAATTTGTAGTGACATAACTATTAACTTACTTAGGCGCGACTGAAAGTTGAATGATGTTTGAGTTTTAAAAAAAATCTCAGTAGTAGCACGGAGCCTGGAATTGTGCCCGGTATATGGCAATAGACTCACCCCCTATTACATGGGACTCATAACATAAATAGTGAAAAGTGGGTGTTACATTGTACAGTGGTATAATGTGCACCTCTGCCTACTCCTTCAGGGATAAAAGGCGTGATGTTATGTTATGTTATGTTATATTATGTTATGTTATGTTATTTCAGAGTTAGCGACTTAAAAGTAACCTTGATGTTTTTTCAGATTAAGATCTTGTTATTAAGATGTGCTAACATAAGTAACTTCACTCCTGTCGCTCATGGGATTAGGCAGACTATGGAACGACAATTACTACGATGCCTACTGCCACTACGTTATCTTACAATCCACACTTTTCTCTAATAACACTATTTTTCACTCGATCACTCAATTTTAGTCCACACATACTTCTCAGGGCTCTCATTTCCACCGCATTAATCCTGCTTTCATGCTTCTTCTGCCACACCCATGCATGTAGGTATGTGCTAAATAAATAAAAATGCAAATTCACTTTATAATATTTTTATTAAACAATACATTTAGATACAAAATTCCTAAAGCTATTATTTACAACATTACTATCTAGTTTCGTATAAAAATAATAATAATAGACCACCTTTTTTCCATTTTTATAGTAAAAAAATAATAATAATTTCTATCAAAAATAGTTAGAGAAAGTCTTCGTAAGTTAAAGCTTCACTAAAAACTAATTAGGTATAGTTTGGTTGGAATAGTTCACTAAATAATCGACTAAATACACGAAAAATCGACTAAATAGTAAAAATATACATTAAAATTTAGTAATGATTAAATAGTTGAAAAGTCGTGAAAGAATTGGTTATATTTCCTACTTTTACATCACATAAATTTGTTCATAGTCTTTTTATAAAACCAAGTTATACCTTTATACATTAATCTCATAAAGAATTTCAATAATAAAATACATTTTGTTCGTTCATATTCATAAATAAATTGAAATAGTTACTTATATTTAAATTTCCAAGAAATAGAACGAAATATAGAAAGAGAAATTTAAATTATACTTGAGCCAAGATCGATATGAGATGTTTATGAACGAACCACAAATAGCACTTTTCTAAATGCTTCTATAGTTTTGTCATCACTAAGAACTGTCAGTAAGAGTGAGAGAGAGAGAGAGAGGGCGGGAGTGTGACACGTAATTCTACACTTTTGACTTGTTTGCAAACATCTTACATCGATCTTGGCTCTAGTATAAGTACATACAATATTCACAATTATTATTTTAATTAATTGAGCACATTTCTTAGGAAGGAATGTCAATTTAATTATGGAATGTATCTAAATAATAATGTCACTTTTATACGGAGTATATTGCATAATTTCAGTAATAACCTGTAAGTATTTTGAGTTGACTTTAAAGAAAGTATGTACTTGTTTGTGCACGGTTATCTCGCAATTGGTTGAACCGATTTTGATGCGGTTTTGAGAAAAAAAATAATTCTTTATTGTCATAAAATTTTACAATATTACATTCACAGAAAAGTGCTTGTTTCATTTACAGGAGAAGGTCTTAGTATAATAATTAACTTCAACAAAAGAGGGGATGTAAATAGATTTTTTTAAACGCAGTTGATTAAAGAACTATAAAGAAATAAAATAAAAATATTTAAATTTTGTGAAAAGCCTAAATTAAATGTTCGTTTCATTTCGTTACTTTAAGACCATCTTTTTAATGTTTAGCAACATTTTTTTTTGTCAATTTTTTTTAAACTTAAACGAAGGTCTTTAAAAGTAGATTCATATATGAAAACATTCTACTTTTCTATTGCAATTTTAAAACAACATTTTTTCAAACAAATATGTAATCGCTCCGTATAATTGCAACTAATTTGGCTTACTCTCAAAAGCCCATATTCCAACCATTGTCTAAAACCGAAGCCCCCGGTCTTTTGAGCCTGTTTTAAAAGAATATATTCAGATATTTACAGGCATAAGACCAATTAAATTGGCAAGTTAATTACGTATAATTAAGAGTTTAATCAAGGCAATGATTTGAAGTATTTTGGCCAATATTACGTACTAATTTTGTTTCTGTCTGTATTGTAGAAATTGGTAACAATGAGATATTAATGTAGTATTAATAATAGGCATAATAACGTTTTAAAAGTTAATTTTAATTTTTGCAATAAAAGCAAACGTATTTTTAGACATGAAACGATTGATAGTCGATTAGTTAAATTATACCATTACGTACATCACTAAACCAATGATGTGTCATATCACAATTGACAGATTAAAAAAGCGCGCGCGTTTACGTTTTGACAAATGTGTAAAAATTTTATAATGTTTTATTATTAAAGATTGTGTGTCGTATGCCATAAATATTGAGTAAAACAATGACAATTTACTATAAATTACATTACAGACAGAAATAAAATACAAAAGTGAGCAAATATTCCATTAAAAGCTAAGAAGTATCCGTTAAAATCCGGATTTCTTTACAATCAGTCGTCGACACAACCCTATTATAATTAAAAATAGCCTAAAACCACTAAACAGACTGGTACGAATAACCTTTAAGTACTTCACAAATAAAATTTTCGAAATAATTGCCAAAAAGTAATAAATTGTACTGACAGGCAAGACGAAAAATGACAGTGGCGCCCTCTAGTCAACGCAAAAACTATAGTGGCAACCGATATATTATTATGTGTTTAAAAGATTTTTTGTTATTAATTTGTTGTTTTTTTTCTATAAATTTATAGTTATTATCAAAATATTATTCTATACGTTTCAAAATATAGTTACTATTAGTCTTGTACCAAGTCATTTCGTGGTCAAACTGTCCCCTAGTGAGCATTTTTATATATCATTATAAACCCTGATATTTAATATATAAACTGCAAACTTTGCTTTTGTCATTTACTTTTAATTTGACACACTGAAAGCGTCAAAGTTTACAATAACTTTCACCACTCGACACTGGCAGTATAGGAGACTCGTTTGCCAAACAAGCGAATAAAAAAAAAACTTTGATCACAGCAAAGTCAGAACAAATTAAAGTTTCTACTTATCTACTTATTTTTTAAGATGAATTATTATTTATTTCGTTTAGGATAGCACATATCATATTATTATGATTGTGATACATTATTTTCACTGGTTATTTACGAGTGATTATTTTTTGTGGACATTGCGTGAAATCTCTAGTCAAACATTATCTAAACGGACGAAAAAACTATGGTTTCTTATTTTTTAAAGTTACTGTGTACATATGTCGTAAATGACAATTCACATGTCCTAGATCAAAGTTTTTCATGCTGTGGGTCGCGACCCCCAGGGGGGTCTCGAAGCCTCTCCGGCCGTGAAGCTTTTACAGTGGAGTTGCTAAAGGTTGGGAATAATTATTAATAATAGTTTTCTAAATTTCAACGATTTCCATCCGTGCTTTTTATTTGGGCCATTAACGAATAACGAATACACGTGTCGTGGTGGCCCGGAGGTTAAGACGGCCTCTTCTCATGCATGAGGGTGCGGTTACAAAACCTACCAACGACAAGCACTAATGTGACTTTTCCAAGTTATATGTACTTTCTAAGATTATTTAGACACCACTGACAAACGGTGAAGGAAAAACATCGTGAGGAAACCTGCACTATTTTTCTAATTATTAACGAAAATGTCAAGTCGCACAAGTACGAGGTGGCAAATCATGGATTCAATATAAGTTACAAAAAAAACAACGGGTAGGGCAAGGGGGGTCGGGTCGCGACATATTTCTTTATACTAAAAAGACCGTGGTACGTATTTTTTTTTTAAGGGGGCAAAATCATCGAATGACTGCTCCCGCCTGGGTGAGGCCGGAGGGAGTGTCAGACTCTTACTGACTAAAAACCACCCCGTTCCTTCTGCACGTTGAGCCGGATCCCCGGTAACCCGCTAGGTTCTCCGCGACGCCGTGGTACGAATAAGATTGAAAAGCCCTGTCCTGGATAATTCATCTCTGACAAAAGCAAAGTACATAACAGACTCATTACAGGGGGACAGGAGAAATATAATCTAAAACCCTCTATTCCTGGTTAAACCTATGTTCCGACATAATAAAACTATTGTCAGACCTTATTAACGATTCTCTTTCAGCTTCGCTAAAACTAGATCTTACGAAATCACTTCGTAATACACTTTTAAACTCCTTACTGTCTGTTCTAACAAAACTTAACTCCTGGACCCTATCTCCACATTGATTTAACGGGATATATGCTGATTCAGCTCTATGCGGCATCATTTTATGAGAGCCGCTGATGATCAGCGTGGAACTCCGTCTTATAGTCTGTCTTCCAATCTCCATGATTTCCAGAGAATTCTGGCCTATGACGAGGCTCTTGTAGGCTCTGATGAAGACGATAGCCAGGGTTAGGACGCCGACTATGATCATGCCTGATGTTATGATGGGTGCGAAGACTGGTCCTATGGTGGTGGCGAGATAAATCCATCGCCAGATTGGTGTGGAGAGCTCGTGAATGCCCTGGAATGAAGGTTTCGAAGGTTAGTCAAGTGTTTAAATATGTCAATTTAATTTGTATAGGGCTCGTAGGTACATAAAATTGCGATGCGATGCGAATTCGCAACGCAGAAAATTATGATGCGAATTGCTGCGATGGGATTTCGTGCCACAAGGCGTTTCCCATTCCTTCGACGACCGTCTACCGTACTAAGCGGTCACCGGTGACCGCTTGGTGTTTGACAGTTTAAATTGAAAACTAGGTCGTGACATGGATCGCAAAAAGAAGTGTGCACTTCTGTTATTTCTTAGGAGATACAGAAATAAGAAACAAATAAGATTTTGGGAAGATAAGATTTTGATGCGCGATGCATATCTATTCGCAAGTTCTTACGATGCGTAGAGGGAGCTCGCACATTTTTGAGATGCGACGTCGCATCGCAGTTTTGTGTACGAGCCCTTAAAAGCTAGAGCTAGCTACCAAAAAAACAAGTAGAACTTATCCTATAAAGAAGTACGACCATACTTACTTCTTCAATCCACATGACAGGGAAAATGGTGTCGGGGAAGTTGTTGATATTGTTGATGGGGATGTTCGGGGCGCGGTCTACCTTCAGGTTCAGCTGGACTCGCACGAAACCTTCTACTGGTACTCCGATTTTCTGGAATAGACATGGGACATTGTAATGAGTCCTGTTGTTAGAATGTGCTGGCAAAAATACATATAAACTAAGATTCGACATATTTTTTTTTTCATTTTAACTCGTCGAGTACCGTCATTATAGACACAATTATAGAACAATAGGTTGCTGTTATCGGTGACCGCTTGGTGTTTGACATTTTAATGGGGGGCAATCATTGAATTTCTCCTCTCGCCTCGGTGAGGCGGAGGGATTGTCACTCTTACTAACTAAAAACCACCCCGATCCTACTCCTGCACTTCGAGCGGGTGCCCCGGCAACCCGTTAAGTCCTCCGCGGCTCCGTATTGGCATCAGCCCTATCGGGCCCCATCTGTGGTGATATGATGGCTCTTTGAGGTACGCATGCTCGGGTCTAAGACTTGATATAATAAGGTGGGGGAGAGTTCGAAGGGAGAAATCAAATACTTCTCCCATCTTGGGTGAGAAGAGAGGGAGTGTCAGACTCTTACTGATTAAACAACATCGGAGACGAGAATTGAAATTTCACAATACCAATGTCGATCGATCGAAGTTGGATTCAAGAGTAAGCCCCCAGGTTATCCTAGAGTCATCGGTATAGAGCTTACGGACAACGGTAAGCGTATTAGTTACCGATAGTAGTTTAAAAATTATATTTAAGTGTAGGAGAGCCATGCTTCGGCACGAATGGACCGGCTCGACCGGAGTGATACCACGACCTCACAGAAAACCGACGTGAAGCAACGCTTACGTTGTGTTTCGTCGTGTGAGTGAGGTTACCGGAGGCCCAATTACCCTCCCCTTCCCCAATCTCCCCAATTCCTGAACGATCCTCAAACTCATAATCCCCAAAAGGCCAGTAACGCACTTGTAACGCCTCTGGTGTACCAGGTGTCCATGGGCGACGACGATTGCTTACCATCAGGTGATCCGTATGCTCGTTTACCGGCTTATGCCATAAAAAATAATATCTTTTTAAATACTTACAGGTTGTATCATAAAATATGTTTCGTGCTTCTTCTTGTTCGGCTTCAGACCCTCGAAAGGCTCCAGTAGGGCTGGGTCAGCATCATAGAAATGTGGAAAGGAAAGGTATACTGGTGCATCTGAAATGGGAAGGAAAGAGAGATTGTAATTTAAAATATTAAATGAATCACAACGTCATGCATTTTAATCTTCGAAGGGGTAGACAGAGGTGCACATAACAATGTAACACCCACTTTCACCAATTATGTTATGAGTCCCAAAATACTGGCCACAATTCCGGGATCTATCTAAAAAATACCGAACATAACATCATGCAATTTATCCCTGAAGAGGTAGGCAGAGGCGCACATTACGGCACTTAACGCCACTGTACCATGTAACACCCATTTTTCACTATTCATATTATGGGTCCCATGTAATAGGGGGTGAGCCTATTGCCATATACCACAATTCCAGATTCCGTGCTATTACTGAAATTTATTTTTTAAAAACTTTGCCCGACCCGGGAATCAGACCCGAGACCCCTTGTTGGCAGTCCCACCTGCGACTGGACCAACGAGGCAGACCGAAAAAAACTGAAATACTCTGCTTGTATCAGGAATCAAACCCAAAACTGCTCATACGGCACTCACATCAGCAAGCACTCGACCTTCACTAAATACACTTTAAAATCATAGATGGCGTTTTAAAAATAAATATTTGAACTTACTGTATTGACAGGGACTAATATTCTGCAATCCTTTTGGCGGGCATTTCTCACCCGGGTAGTAACACTTGTTATCCGGATTCACATCAGCACTCTCAAATGTAGACGCTGGTGGAGTGTACAGACCAGCTTTGATGCCTGGAAAAAACAAAATACATTATTAGCTCATGACGATACCTAAGTACGTGTGTCGCCTGGACAGTCAACCTCGCTACATCCTTGTTGACTGGACATCTACACTACATGAGCTGCTGTTTACATGTGAACATTAGCTCATGACAATACCCTAAGTACGTGTGTCGCCTGGACAGTCAACCTCGCTACATCCTTGTTGACTGGACATCTACACTACATGAGCTGTATACTTACCATCTTTGTATACATCTTTTCTGTATTGGAGTGGTAGAATTCTGCACAGATCTTTGTCATAAACGTGGACTATGTCAGATTTGGTGACTGCTCGTGGAGGGAAGAATGAACCTTCGGATGCACTGGAAATAAAGAAAGGTATTGTTAGAAATGAACCATAATTATTGACCTGGGTGTTTACTCTTGAAACCAATCTTAATGTCAATGCAATTTCAATCCAATAAAATCTCAATAATTATCCAATGTTAAAACTATACAACCCCTATCGTAGCTGTTACAATAGCATTCAGAGTACGGAATATAAAGCTAAACTCAATATCATTTACTTCATTATATATCTACGCATTTCGGATGCAATGGGCGCTAGTGTTGATCGATCGGAGTCTTTACTCACTGTACCAACGAAGTAATGTATAAATAATCTATTCCTTTGAACTATGTGCCCACTCTATATCGTGGTGGCCCAGAGGTTTAAGACGCCCGCTTCTCGTGCATGAGGGTGCGGCTTCGAAACCTACCAACAGCAAGTATGTACCAAAGTGAATTTCTAAGATTATCTAGACACCACTGACAAATTGGACAATTGTGTTAGGTTTGAGTAGTCATGCTCACTTAAAGGTCTCATAGACGGTGGCGCGTGCAGTGGATCGCTCGATTCCCTACAATATGGTTGAGTTGGGCGATGCTGGTGTACGTGTCATGTTCGTTAACTGGGACTGGTCAGCTCCAGACTGTATTATTTATTACCCTTCTTTTTCGATCTCTTTGACTGGATTTTAGCGCTACATTGTTCTCGCAAAATTTAAACAACAAAACTATGTAACTAGAGAATTGTACCTATTGTGAACCTGATTGAAAAAGTGTAACCTATGGAGTTTCTTGCTCGTTCTTCTCCATAGGAATCTACACCTTGGAATGAGCAAAAAGCTTCGCTTTTAATTTTTTTGTTGACGTTCATTTGTGCCTTTCTGGTCTAATTGAAATAAATGATTTTGACTTTGACTTTGGGCCTTCGGTAACCTCACTCACACGACGAAACACAACGAAAAACGTTGTTTCACATCGGTTTTAATGATGTGTTAACAACGACAAAATATCAAGGTCTTCTGTTTCTGCAGCATTACAAGGCAATATGTTGTAAGGAACGCAGAATGGCATAATATAATATGATATCATAACTATGTCATTAGATGTTTCGTATTGTAGTCGTTGGCACTGGTTTTTTCCTTAAATAGTATAGGATAGACGACAAATTTTTATTTTAATGTCCCCCTGGTAGATTATTTAAAAACATTAGACACGTATTTTTTATTTTCTTACGGAAACGAATAGTTTCGAAGATATGTTAATTTGAAATGTCGCGTGACGTCACTTCTATGTACATTTTATACGTAGGAATGACGTTCTAGCCCCCACTCCTAAACTTTGATTCGTTTTATCTAAGTATTGTTTTATTATACGACAAAATAAAAAAATACGTGTCTAATATTTTTTCATTACCTAACTTATGGACTAATTATATTTTTAATTTTCAAACCATGTCATCATCCCCATTATCTAATACCTACATTTGAACGAGGTTTTTTTTATACAGGGTGGAATTTTGTAACCCCACCTGACGGGGAAGTACTCTTAATACCCTAGATAGAACATTTTACTCAAAGAAAACATTCCTTTATTTTTGGAAATAAAGAAAACGACATTCAAAGATTTTTAAAAACTCTCTTGCCGTCTCGGTAATCGAATCGACTAAAATCTATAAAAGTTGCATCTTGTACTTTTACTTTTGAGAAAATGTCGTATTGTTCGCGTTTTCAGTCAATAAACATCATTATTAGAATGTAAACTAAATTTTGCCATGACATATTGCGCCGCCATTGGACAGCCGAGACACTATAGGCGTTACAAGTGCGTTACCGGCCTTTTGGGGATTAGGAACTTGAGGATTGTTAGGGATTGGAGAGGAGATAATATGGACCTCCGGTAGCCTTGCTCACACTACGAAACAGAACGTAAGCATTATGTCACGTCGGTCGTGTGGTATCCAAGTTTTCCAAGTGGCAATTTTCCATGGTTCTGGCGATAGATTGGTGCAATGGTGTCATGGACCACCTGGTTTGAGAACAAGGGTACAAAAACCTTCAACGGCAAAGTCACATAACATTTTAACTATGATAATGAAATCGCAATAAGGAACCCTAGAAACCTAACCATTAACCCTTAATGTTACCCTTAACCGACGAGCATGAATGAAAAGATTGATGACTGTTAATGAAGCGAAAGAGGTATGTAAGAATCGTAATAATTGGCGTTCCTTTTTCTCTGCCTACCCCCATGGGAGACAGGCGTGAAGTTATGTATGTATGTATGTATGAACCGTAGACTTGGCACGACTTTGTTATAGTCTATTACTTTTTAGAAATAAACTAGTAGCTCGATCGAGACTTGACTATTTTTTTACAGAATATTTGGTGGGATACAGATATTTCTAGTTGCGGGTTGAATTTGCGCAAAAATTGCAGTAGTGTTAACAAACAGTATTCAAGGCTTTTATTATTATTATTATTATAAAAATTATGTAATAATATAAAACGGATATAACGCATTACGCATAATGTTGTTATAATAATGCAAATAGCTGTATCCTCTGTTAAAGTATTCGATTTCCGTAAATATCGCGAGGTCGTTGTCTTGTATAGTAATTAATTTTATTTTAATAAATAAAAAAAATATAAATAAAGAAAGAGATGGCGAGATAATAGTCTGGTCCACTTGGACCACCTGGACCAGACTGGATGCTGAAAGCGCGCTACAGGAGCCTTACTCTTGAATCCAATTCCGATCGATCGACATTGGTATTGTGAAATTTCATACTCTTGAGTTGCAACACTAGCGCCCATTGCATCCGTATTGCATGGATATTGAATGAACTAAATAGTATTGAGTTTGGCTTTATATTCCGTACTCTAAATGCTATATTAACAGCTACGATAGGCGTTGTATAGTTTTGACATTGAATAATTATTGAGATTTTATTGGATTGAAATTGCATTGACATTGAGATTGGTTTCAAGAGTAAGTCCCCAGGAAAGCATGGAGCGATTTAGGGGAGGCCTACGCCGTAGACGCGATATGAACATAGAAGATAAACCAGAATAGAAGAAATAAGTAGTATAATATAATAATAAGACTGCCTCGTTGGTGGTCGCAATTGCGACTGCCGGGCAAAGGGTTCGATTCTCGGGTCGGTCAAATTATTATTAGGTTTTTTTTAAATTCTCAGTAGTAGCACGGAGTATGGAATTGTGCCCGGTTTAAGGCAATGGACCCACCCACTATTACATGGGACTCGTAACATAAATAGTGAAAAGTGGGTGTTACATTGTACAGTGGCATTAAGTGCCGTCATGTGCACCTCTGCCTACCTGGGCATATTTCCAGTCTCTGTGCTACTACTATTTTTATAAAATCCACAGATTTTGTATTTCGGACGGTCGGGTATACGACACCAGGGGGAAGAGCAGGGGTGGTGAAAAATATATTCTACTAAGGGTCATCTCACGTCTTTAAAATAAAGCCTTAGCTAATCCAGTTATTATGATTGGTCGTATTGATCTTACGCATGACCATGTTGTAACCTTAACCTTACTTATGTAATACTAGCTGTTACCCGCGACATCGTCCGCGAATACCAATTTTAGAACAAACCTTTTTTATCTATACTATATATAATATTATAAAGCTGAAGAGTTTATTTTTTTGTTTGTTTGTTTGAACGCGCTAATCTCCGAAACTACTGGTCCGATTTGAAAAATTATTTCTATGTTGTATAGCCCATTTATCGAGGAAGGCTATAGGCTATAAAATATCACGCTACGATTAATAGGCGTCGAGCAGAGCGAGTGAAACCGCACGAAAGTAGCTAGTGTTTCATATTTCCAGAATAAAAGTGGCCTATGTTACTCCTCAGTACATCAGTTACGTGCCAATAAAAGTCTTGCAAAATCAATCCAGCCGTTCCAGAGATTGGCTAGTGCAAACAGACAGACAGACAAAAATTGCAAGAAATGGTATTTTGCTATGTGTATCGTATGTATATTCATATGCATGTAGTCAAAAGCGGTTTTTTTTAAATGGGACACGCCCGCCACAACCTCCCAAAACCGCTGCAACTCCTGTGCACCAGGATCTACAGTAGATACAACCATGAAAACACCGGAACACTGAAGTCCAACGTCTTAGGGACATGAATAACTGTCTTGGTTCCCGCAACGAAGTGAATCAGAAGATATTATAAGAGGAGAAGAAAAAAAGGGTTAATTTTAATACTACAAATAGACATTCCAATTTTATTTATCTGTATGGATTTTTATGTTTCCATTACACGTGAGCAAGGACCTTCGGATTTATCGCAAAGTTTATCTCTTACGCTTCACACGGTACGCCATTTTGGGATTTTTTTTATTCTTTTTAAACGATATTGTGTCATAATTAATGTAAGTTATAAGTTAACATAGTTTTTATACATAAGATCTGATTTCCGCCACCATATAAGGCTAAAATACAGCAGGATAGTTGTCACCATCTGTACTCTTTTTGCGGATGTCGTATACCCATTTTTTTTTTAAGAGGAGAAAATCATCGAATGACTGCTCCCGCCTGGGTGAGGCGGGAGGGAGTGTCAGACTCTTACTGACTAAAAACCACCCCGTTCCTTCTCCTGCACGTCGAGCTGGAGCGCCGGTAACCCGTTAGGTTCTCCGCGACACTATTACGTGACTAAGGGCCGATTTTTTAATCATCAGTTAGGTAATTCTTAGTTGTAGAATAAAATTAACATTTGACAGTTTTGTTTTGACAGTTGTGATGCCTAATTTTTATTTTAATGTCCGTCTGGTAGATTATTTTAAATCATTAGACACGTATTTTTTATTTTCTTACACAAACGAATACTTTCGACGATATATTGATTTAGAATGTTATTTTCTTATATTTCTATGCGTGACGTCACTTCTATGTACATTTTATACGTAGAAATGACGTTTTAGCCCCCACTCGTAAACTTTTGATTCGGTTTATTTAAGTATTGTTTTATTATACGATAAAATAAAAAAATACGTGTCTAATATTTTTTCATTACCTATCTAACGTACGGACTAATTAGATTTTTAATTAACATACCCTGTCATTATCCCGATTAAACAAATTATATTTAATAAAAAAACAATGAAATATTAAATTAATGAAGTTTGTTAAAGAGATTTCATCCTTATTGACACTAACAATCGATGCAATAAAAGTACATGGTGCAACTTTTACAGATTTTAGTCGGTTCGATTACCGTGTGCGGCAAGCGAATTTTTAATATCTTTGAATACAGTTTTGTTTCTTTTCAAAAATCAAAATATATTTTTGGGTTAAAATAGGGATGATGACAGGGTATGAAAATAAAAATATAATTAGTCCGTAAGTTAGGTAATGATAAAATATTAGACACGTATTTTTTCATTTTGTCGTATAATAAAACAATACTTAGATAAAACGAATCAAAGTTTAGGAGTGGGGGCTAAAACGTCATTTCTACGTATAAAATGTACATAGAAGTGACGTCACGCGACATTTCAAATCAATATATCCTCGAAAGTATTCGTTTCTGTAAAAAAAAAAATAATACGTGTCTAATGATTTAAAATAATCTACCAGACGGACATTCAAATAAAAATTAGTCATCTACCCTATTTTCGATCTAAAGTATTAAGAGTACTTCTCCTTCAGGTGGTATTACAAAATTCCACCCTGATATTTACCTACCCTTTCGGGGATTAACTGTTCAAAATAATTATTATGTTGACAATACTATCGACTTGCTATTTGCGAACATAACCCTACTTTTATCTTCCCCGTAGTCGGGTAAAAACCTTAATAACTAAGTGTATTGATTTTGATGGAACATGTTTCAAATATTGACTGACTGACTGACGGGATGTTGACGTACCGACGCCGAGCTAAGCGTTTTATGCGAATTTCAACTTTAAGGTTTCGGTATATGGTTGGAAATCCAATTTAGTATTGTCATTGTCTGCTCGCCCTTACCTTTTTCAGGTAACATGACAAACATACCAATTATAAGTAATTTTAAACATACATTGTCATATGAGCCGTGTGATGACGGCAGAGTAAAATACATTTCTCACTACCGCTACTCTTCCCGCGGGTGTCGTATACCCGACTAAGGGACTACACATTAGACAGAGACCGGGCAGCAGCGCTCTCTGATAAACCTGAACCTTTTATACTGGGATCTCCAACCCGCCTGCCTGCGGAGATTATGACAACCCCTCTTATGTAGAGGAGGCTCATAGTGCAGCAGTGGATTGTCAGGGACTGGTGATATTTGATTGCATAATTATCTTGTTATCATTTTCATTATTATGTACTTTAAAAGATAATAATAGGGAAGTAATACATTCTTTTCAAGTGGTCCTGAGTAATTAGTACTTTAAAATTAAGTAAACAGTTTCTTAAGCACCTACTGGGCGTGTGCGCTCTGTAGTTTCTGTATACCATCAGACGTTTGAATGTGATGGAAGCTAAAGAAGTATGTAAGGAGCGTAGTAGGTGGCGCTCTGTAGTTTATGTATACCATCAGATGTATGAATGTGATGGAAGCTAAAGAAGTATGTAAGGGGCGTAGTAGGTGGCGCTCTGTAGTTTCTGTATACCATCAGATGTATGAATGTGATGGAAGCTAAAGAAGTATGTAAGG